GTACGATAGGTATTGCAGAATCCAATACATGTGTAGTTTTCCTGCCTTACAGGATTTCTGTATCCTTTTAAATTGCTGTCTTCCAATTACTATGCACTCTCCTTATGCAAAACTTCATATGCGACTTTTAAACTGCAAATGGTTCAGAGCTTTTGAAATACACTATTTTTCTGAAGCTGAGAGAAGAGGAAAAAATATAAATCAAATCAGAAAAGCAGCAATATAGTGAACAGAAACTGTATTCTTCATTTCTGACACAGTTTTTCCTTTGACAGTTGCCTCTCTGATCCTACCTTATCTCTATTCTGCTACAATAGTGCACATAAGATCAAAAGAGAGAAAGCAAAAGTAAATCATTTATTCGGTAAAAGCCTGGGGCTTAATTCATTAGTGCTTAGAAATATCTCCTTAGATTCAGACCTACTCCCATAAAGAATGGTAATTTAACAGGTGTTTTTAAAGCTTACTTGTAATGAACACTTTAATTATTGAGCAAAAGAGAAATACCATGATTTCTGGAGTTGGGAAAAATGCAGCAAAGAAGCAAACGTATCATTTTCCAAAACAGGAATAAATAGGGTCTGCAGATGCAGTGTGTTTAGACGCAAATGTGAGGACAAATTCACTGGATAAATGCATTTTAGTTCTGACTAGGTAGTAAAATATTTACAGTATATATTAGACATTCTCTGCTGGACTTTACAACAGACAACACAAAAAATGGAAAAATTTTGATTAAAAATGTAATGTTGCCTTAGACTATTCTGCAATTATTATCCTAAAGAGATTCCAGTGGGTTTATTCAAGGCTCAGAATACTAAATGTTAATATATTTTAATGGTGCAGACCTAGTTATGAAAGATTTATATTAGGTTTATATTTGCCCATAGTTTATAGAGAAACCAGCTTGATCGGTGGAGAAGGCAGGTACAGTCACCTCTTTCCATGGAAATTGCTATAGAGCTCAGTGTCTGAATCACAATTTAGACACTCCTACTTTCAGCCTGATTTCTGGTATATATAGGCTAATACTAAATGTTTTTTAAAAATACCTGTATCAATAATACACAAAAGCTAGCGCTGTGCAGAGTATTGTGCTGAGATGAAAATCCTTAAAGCTCAACTCCAACCTCATTCATTTATCTACCAGTCAATCCCTAAAGTCCTGCTGATAACTTAAATGCTGCATTTTGAGCTATACTCACCTGCCTCTTAACAATGAGTAGCTTAGTAGTAGATGATGAGTAGCTTAAGGCCCCATGTACATGGGACACTTCTGAATGATGGAAACTTACTGCTGGAAAATGTAGGTTAAAAAAGGTCTGTTTAGCCGCGTTTGCATAACGCGTTTATGTGCGTTTGCGTTTAGAAGCGTTTTTTAAAGATAAGCACAGGAGAACCTCCCAAATGCCCAGAATGCACTGAAAAGTGGTAAATTATTAACTATTTCAGACTGTTTCAGAGAAATACAGAGAGTAGAAGCAGAGTCAGCAGTATGTGTTGAGATAATTAGGTGTGAGTTGCTCATTAACATTTCTTTTGTTTCCAAGGGTGGGAAAGGTGTCTGGTGGAATGAGTCATTAAGGTCACCTGGCAGGAGGTCTTCTTGAGGAATTTGAGGTGTGAATGGTCATTAACATATCTTTTGTTTCCAAGGGTGGGAGAGGTCTGAGGTGTGAATTGGTCATTACAATGTGTGACAAGCTTGGTAGGAACATCCTGTTTTCAGTGTTTTGTCCATCTGAGTACCTTGAAAACACTTTGCATGCATTTTTCATGATGAAAAAAGGCTCTGGACAGCATCGGGAACTGGAAGAGTTAAAAAAAAAATTCAGATGCAAACGCTTATAAACACGATTTGCCGCGTGTTGACGCATTTACAAGTGATTTGCTTTAGAAACGCAGATAAAATTGACTGCTGAACGCAAGTTTTCTGCGTTAAAAAAAAAACGACTGTAAACTCAAATGCCTGTAAACGACTGAAAGAGAGAACATGTGTACATGGACACATAGGAAAATATTAGGGAGAGTTCAGGGGCTGCTGAAAAAAACACTGAACAGCTCCTAAACGTGACTTTAGCAGCTGCAGTGTGCATGAGCCCTTAATGTTAGATGATTCACAGTGTCATTTAACCAACTACTTTCCCTTGTTGTTTTCCTCTTTTCCTCTTGGACTGCATGAGGCATGTCACCAGGGTCTGTCCTGTCAATTTGGGCTTTCTGGGTAGAGGTAGAAGTGGTTCCCTGGCAGCACATATTTTACTGCAGGTGTAAGTGGTGGATGGATACCAAGCGGGTTCAATCCCTACTCACTCTGTGTGTGCCCTAGAGCCACAGGAGTGGTAAGCACCCAAGAAAAAAGATAGCGGCCAGATAGAGGTCTCCTTTGACAGTGGCAGTGGTTGGCATGGCTGGATGGACTTGCAGCAACAGAATCACACAGTGGCTCTGGCTGTCCTATACAGAGGAATACACACTGAATCTGCTGCCAGCAAAACCTGCATAGCTCAGGAATCCCAGAATGGCAAACTGGATCCATTTCTCATGGTTCACTGTGCTGCTAGTGCTAGTGCTTGATATCTTTCTGCCTTCCTAGCTCATCCTACCCTTTGTCACCGAGCTGTAAACCAGACCATGCAAAAGTGGAAGGTCACATAATTGTTTTCTGGTGGCAGTTTTAAGCTACAAAATGACAAATATTTGCAAGCAGGAAGATATAAGAGGAAACTTGAGTGACAGGTATATACCTTTCCATTACTGATAAACTCTAGTGTTCTGATGGTTTCTGTGCAGGCTTCTTCTTCAGTAAAACCACATGTTAAGACAATCAATAGATTCAGGCAGTTAAATGTTTAAATATATCTTCATTTTTGTTGTATTACTAAGCTTGGTTCGTCCATTCTGGTCCTCTCTACTGGTCAGTAAAGTTGCTCATGACGTGAAAGGACCGATACCTAGGCCAAGACTATGCTTAACATCTCTATTACTTTCTGAATTTTTCTGCAGTGAACTGCAGACTATCAGCAAATGTATATTGATACAAATATAGGGACTATTATTTTCACTGCTATATGGATGGGAACTTATGGACTATAGAGAAAGGGAACTTTACCACGTTATGAGCAATTGGCAATCTTCATATAAGTTGAATAAAAATATTCAGTAGCCTACACAGACAAGCGACATCTAGTATACAGCTGAAAGCAAATATAATGCATGACATGATAGCACCGTTTATTGATTCTCACTCATTTGTCAAACAGACATGCTGACTGACTTCCCCTCAGATGCAAAATGTTATTCAAGAGCTCGGGGGAATTGCCTGTAAGTCGTACTGGCAGTGAAGGGAGATTATTTTTCAAATAATTTCATGGTCATATCTTTTCTGCTACAGAACACTGCACATTACAACTATCAGTCAACAAGTGTCATCCTTTCCTGTGCATTTCACAAGCTTTTACTTAAAGGAAGCTGACTTACATGAAAAGCTGTAAAAAACATTAACAGAAATAAAAATGCAACTTTCCATGAATTGATCACGCACTTTGGAGTTAGGCTCCCTGACCCCATTTAGTCACCGGTCACACTGCTGCGATTTTAAAATTCAGTGCTATTTCAGGTGCAATTTCTGAAGACTTTATTGCTACTTGTGAAGATTTTCAACAATTTCTTCAATTTGCAGTGCAATTTCCATTACGTTCTATGTATGTGAAATCGCAACACAACTGCAGAAAAAGGAATACAAGAACTACTTTAGAAATTGTGCTGCAGCAAATCGCAAATGTTAAGACACTAATATTCACATTCATTAGATGCGATTTCAGGTGCGATTTTAATTACTAAATCGCACCTGAATCGCACCGATATGACCGGGAACTTACTCACAGATTCAGATGGACTGATCTATAACAGATATGGTCGTACACACTAATAGTAAAATCCATCAGCTACTGATGCTTGGTGCCTTTGAGAAACTTCTGGATCTTGCATGTATCAAGTATGTGCCAAAAAATGTCTCATGGGTGGTCGCAAACACCCACCAATGTGGTCATCTGTTGACTGCTTATTCCACCCTCCCTGACTTTAAGGGGTTTATTTACTAAACCTGGTTGACTCAGAATCTTGTCCACTTCTGCATAAAAACCAATCAGCTTCCAGGTTTTATTGCTGAAGCTTAACTGAACATGCTGAGGTTAGAAGCTGATTGGCTACCATGCACAGGTGCCCAAGATTCTGAGTCAACCAGGTTTAGTAAATAAACCCCTAAGTGTCTGCTAACCAGGCTCAGTTCCCATCAGGGTAGATCTAGAAATGATGTAACTTTTTGTCAGTCAAGCCATCAAGTACATATATATATATATATATATATACATATATATAGTAAAATACAGCTTACAGATGCCTACTGTTTTATGCTATATGTCCTTTCAGTAATTTTTAGTCTGCAGAAGAAGAAGCTTCTCATGCTTCCATAGGATTATGGTACAAGAGATTAGCTAGGTGTTAACTATCTCATGTATTGTAAGCTATGGTGAACTCCTGAAAATTCCCTTTAAAAAACCTAACCTGTGTTCAAGTTTAAGGGTCCCTTTAAATTGTAATTGTTGAGTGGATTTGAGTCCATGTCCCTAAAGCAATGTCATTCTTTACATAAAAGTAACAAGACATAAGGACTCAGACATACAGTGTAATCAATACAACCCAAACTGGATACCCGTCAGAAAAACATTTAACAATATAAGAAATCAGACTTTGTGCATCCTCAAAGTTCACATCCTGTCAGCTAGAGAGGAGATGAAAGGCAACGGTGTCAACTCTTCAAACCTGTTATGTAGCTATCTCGTTGAATCTAAAATATTAATAATGAATGTTCAAAATAAAATATTGAAAGTTCTTTTTGGAAATTACAAGAGATGAAAAAGGCATTTGAAGTTTCTGCTGCATTATACCTTTTTTTGCAGCACCTCCTGCCATCATACCCGTCTGAGTTTCATACTCACTTCATACTCTTCTTTGAATCCGTAGCCTTCAGCACATTTCATCTGTGTGATGTGCTGCAGCAAGTCAGCTACCCGGATGGCTGGGTGAAGCTGGCCTGTCTGGTAGGGAACATCAGCTGCCTCCCGTTTCTTGTATGTATGGGACTGGGCTAAGCTGCTTGTCTCGCTGTTCGTGTGGTTTTCATCTATCAGAAACAAAACAAAACAGGGTTAGTGATTTCAAACTTGTGTAAAATATAAATGAAATACAAATAAAATCTAAACATAAATTTAAAAAAAGCTAAAAAACACACAAAAATATAAAATATAAATGAAAAACAGTGGAAATGATATTATGAAGAGATACAAAGCTAAACACTGAGATAAGAAATATGCACATTTTAAATTACATTTTAAAATAGTTGGTAACGATGCATCAAATACAAATGAAACAGACAAACAAATTCACACAGTAGTTTGTAACAGTATACGCAACAGAGCTACAAAGTAAATAACTAACTAAAACTTTTTAAAACATATGGAAAAAAAATGGAACACAATATGGTTGGACACTGGTTTAGGGTACAGACGTTTAAGGTTTACAGTTCTACCCCACTCATTTGCATGCAACTTGTAACCAAGGTTCTTGAACAACACATGAAATGGGGCAAAACTGAGATGCAAACAGACAAAAACAGAACCAGCGGGTGTGAAAAAGACCTACATGGTTTCCCCTGCCATTTATCCTTCCAAGTGCTGGAAAAGTATACAGAGCTTTGCAATGTATCCTCATCCAGCATGGAAAAGGAGACCCACCTCCCCCATAGTTGTTTCTCCAGAGTGTACAAAGAGAAACTTACCATTAATTGGCACTTTTAAGAAGATATATCAGGAGGGAAAAGAGTAGGAAAAAAATAAGACAGGGCATAAGCAATTAAAATGTATTCATTATCAACAGCATGGCTCCTGACTGTGGTCAAATAGAATTGAAGAGACGGGGTATGAGGTCGAACTAAAAAGCCACAGAAAATAGGCAGCTAAGTGCTAAAAAGTTTGGTGGATCTATGATTGTATACCTATTATAAATAAAGGGCAAGTAACAAAATGTTTTGGGATTTTCTACTTGGAGCTAAAAGTGGACCCTTGTTGAAAAAAAATTAAGAGTGGCAATTAAGACAGATGTCCAACTCCTACACATCTAGGATGGGGTTAAGTAGCTGCACTTTCATATTTCAAGTGCTGCACCATAATATTGTGGCTCATTCATTACGGTATAATAGATATCTATATGCATCATAATATGTCAATGGAAGGGTGCTTACAAAGATACCATGGGCCACAGAGACACCTCAGTGTTATCACACTGAGCTCTTTGAATTACGGGTCTACTTTTATATTAAAAGTTGAAAACCCCTTGAAATTTAACCTGTAGTGAGGAAGTATAGAGGCTGTCACTTTCAATTCCTCCTTCTGAAAATTTTAGTACTCTGGCTGTCATGGTAATCCAGTGGCTTCAGTACTTCCTAAGTGACTAACTTTGAACAAGCATCCAGATTAGGAGTTTTAACTTTGCTTTGACTTTCTTAATATGCATGTTTGCTCCAGGTCAGTGCCTCAAGGTACTGAAGCCAGGAGCAGCAAAACAACTAACATTTTCACAAGGAGGTCAGCAATAGCAGCTTCCCTGTTTCTCTCACTAAAGGTTTCCTTTAATCCTACTGTAGTTCATCTATTTTATCTAGATGAGTATTTTTATTTAATGGTGGAAGTGATAAAAATAAAACATCTTTTCATACGTCTGATAAATTAATAGATCAAAAGTCATATGTCCACATATATTGCTTATTTTATAAAATTATCATTTAATTTAAATTAATTTTTACATAAGTCCAAATGCTTTACTTTAAATGGGTTTCCATCTGGGTATGATGTATCCTATAGTTTATGTATTTCATGCACATGTGCATAATGAAGACATAGATCTATGAAGGGATATTACTTAAAGGTAACATAATATATACAATCTACTACATCATGCCTAAAAATAAGATACGACACAAAGGACAAAAAACATAATGCCATTTAATTTTGTTTATTTTTAATTGTCAAAGAATCCATCAAATTTTTGTATCACAGTATATCCAACCTAACTCCATATCCTCATGAGATTCTGGTCCAGTCCTGGTTTTCAAACTCCCATTCTGGTCCTGGTATTCCAGATTTTCTACAGAAAATTAAAAATGCCATGACCAGAATGCATCGAAAAAACAGAACATTTGAAACAAAAACAAAGAAAATCAGTATTAGGAAAAGATAACAACACCCACCCTCCCACAAAAATTTCTGTACAAAATGTTTACATGGAAGTCATATTAAAAAATATATGTATACAGTTTTATAATGGAATAAAAATAATTGGTCATCAGAACTACATACCATGCAACAGTTTAATAAAGATCTCAAAAGCATCACAAACATTATATAAGCTTTCACAAAAGTATTTACATACTAAATGTTGCGGGAAGTAAACTCTTTAAAAAATAACATCTTTAGTGCTGTTTTCCTTCATTGAAAAAAACATCCATTTCATAAAAAGCCAAACTCATATACTTTATATTTACAAATGCATTTTCTTACATTTTATGAAACACTTGTTACTGTGATATTTAGATTACGCATTCAGACTGTACTTTTTTGGTAGATCTAAATTTTGCATACTTAATACATGTTTTCTGCTATGAAGAAAAGTTCAGTAAGCTGACTTAGAATTATATCTCTTTTATTATACAAATAAACGTTTTTATTTCTTTCATTCTAATTTATGCATTATATGGCACTTATTTTTAACTTTTACTTTATATATTTAATACATATTTTAGGAAAATACACATAAAAGTATACTTTACTGTTAAAAATATAAACATATGACTGTACAATTGTATTATATTAATAAACTAGTGGACTATATACTAGATTTCATATCTTTATGCATTCGAATTTGGCAGGTCTGGCTGTTATGTAGATATACATATAAAATACATTTTTCTACTGCACAAAAAATATACACAAACTAAATATGATAAACAATTATACCAACTTCATTACAGGTTTCCCAAAGTTTAACTCCTTCCTAACATAATTTCTGGTTCTACCGGTCACTACATTATTAGCCCACCTTACTGCTGGGCCCAATAACTGTTGGACTGTCTGCTATAGTTTTAATTTCGCAATTGATCTGCTCAGTGATGGTCAAAGTCCATAAGGGGTCCCTGTGCAAAAAATTAAGCATTAAAGCTTATTGAATTGTGAGAAAAATATAGTGAACTTTGGAAGAAAAAATTCACACCAAAACGATATTTATGTTTGTAAATTGGACAAATTTAGTAGAACTGCCCACAGACCCTGAACCCGACCAGAGTATCTTCAGTCACTGAAAGTACCAAGCTCATCAACCTGCCACTGAGGTTCTAGGGCCCATTACAGGCAGGAGAAGCTCTACCTGGAATGACTTTCAGGACCTCAGAGGCCCTTGGTGCCTGTACAGACTGCACTGACATGTAAACCACTGGATATTGTTCATTTGAAAAACTTGTAGCTTGCAGCTCACACGACTCTTGTTAAAAAAGCAGTCTGGTCTTTATTCACTGATTAAGATTTATTTGAAATTGAGAATAAAATCAGAATCTACAATTGACTAGAATATTATTGCTGGCATCTTTGGCATAGTGGATATTACCTAGTGGAGAGAAAATTTCTTTGGCTAGTAAAGATCCATAGGATGGTAAACAGGTTTATCAATATAGTTTAAACAATATTCATCTTATCAGTCCAAATACTGATGAATAAAAATACAATTAATATTACTTCTATTCCTCTGGTACCAAGCCTGCGGACCTTTGGTACATACTGTGCAGCCCTCAAACCTCAGCAGCAGGAGTATTGAATTGTAAAGTGTAATGACAGTCTCATGTAACATATCACTGATCTCTAATAGTTTCCTGCAGCATATCTCCAGCCTTCAACTACACCTTTAGCATGTCCCCAATCTCTGTTGTCCTTAAGCAGAATATTGGCTGTCTCTGACAGTTTTTTGTAGCACATCATATACTGAATATTAAGTTCACCCTATAAAGATGTCAAGGACCACAGTTGAGTCTCTTATTTCTGGTAAGTTGACTACCACTGTTTTATACCATACTGGGAAATCTACAGTTCATTAAATAATATTTGAAAGGAGAAAATGGTTTTCCTTATTCTTCACAGAGTTTATTCTTCTATTCATAAACAAGGTATGTTGGCATCCCATTGTATACATACAATGCTGTATACTATAAATACAAATTTGATTATCTAATTTATTTTGTGAATTAAAATTTTATGACAGGCTTTCTTGTCAGTGTCAGAAGTGCTGGACAGAGATAAGGGAATGAAAAAAATCTAAGATTTTACTTAATAGGCTTACTATAATCCTGCAATTAAATCTCACAGATTTATTCATCCAAACTGTGAGTTTTCTTCCCTCAAGGGACATTTATATGTGTGATAAAGCCCTTCACTAGATGGACATAAGGAACATTCTTTGAATTTGTAGATATGTGAACAAAATCCTAGACTGCCGTAGATTGTGTAATTGATATTTGACACAGTCTGTAGTGTTGAAGCAGATCTGCTCAAGGAAGAACTATATGTGTCTGACTACTAAATTTAACACAAAATTGTGTTTAATCCTACGTGTTAAAATTCCTCTCCTTTAAATTCTAAAATAAAAATGTCTATAATATTTTGGTTGTTCATAAAAAATCTACAGCCTTTTTCATATGGTGTGTCAAGGAGACCTTTTACATTAAAACAGAGAGAGGTTTTACAAAAACTAGTCTTGTTCATATGGTTTTTAACATGTACATAAGCAGTGTGAATAAGAAACTTTCACAAATCTTTTAATAAGATTCAAACAGCTTTGTTGAAGCCTTTAAAGCACAATATTCTCTCTCTCTCTCTCTCTCTCTCTCTCTCTCTCTCTCTCTCTCTCCCCCTCTCTCTCTCACTTTAGACAAGCTACTAGCAGACTGTTGAAGTTCTACTGCATTTTGGCATTACTGGCAGGGGATTATTTTTACTTCAAATTATGTGTATGACATTTTCCTAACCCTTGACCCCACTTTATGTATCCAAGGATATGTTGATTCCAATACATTGGACTCAAGCT